TCAGTGTCTGCACCTAAACCATTGTGATGTTTTGTATTTTTAAAGGTTTGGCCCATCTCCTCATTTCTCCTGTGCTAGTTGACGTGAGATTATTGTCATGCTTGGTATTTAAGACCATGTTGATTATTTATTTGTTGCGAGCGGCTGCAGACGCAGAGCGACGTGATGTCCTCACGCTGCTGAAACCTCTGGCTCCTCTTCGTTCACCAGCTCGTCTCTACCTGGAAATGTTAGGTTAGGTTTTTGTTGTTGTTGACTCGATCCCTGGGCCTTGTTGTTCATGGGCTAAAAGACCTGTTTATTTTCAGCAGTTAAAGGGTTGATTTATTTTTTTTTTTTTATGTTGACGTTATCTTGAGAAACAGCGCGCTCTTATTTTGAAAGAAAGGCAAAATGAGTAGAAACCTTGATCAGCTTTCATATGATTGGCTGAGTGCTGATCATGTGATTGGTAGGTGTGTTGGGAGCGTTCTTTTTTCCTGCCAGTGTTTCGACACTCGGTTAGGATTAGCCAATCAGGGGCGAGTTCGATCTCAAAACGTTTTGCAACGTTCCCCAACGGGCTTCGAGTTATGTTTCTTGTGTTTGGCGGGCGTGTCACAGGTGTTACCCAATCGGCTGCGACAAGTTCGTAAACACAACAGCGTTAAAAAGGCAGGAAAATGCAGCGCGCATGCGTTCACAACAGGGTGTTCGAGGCACCACGTTTCCGTTGAAAAATACGTTTTGTCGGCGCCGAACTCGCCCCCGTTGTTGAAACTTTAGCAGGACATAAATAACGTGTCTTAGGAGCCCTCCCAGCATGCACTGGGGCAACAGAGCCTGCATTCTTACTGCTGTTATTGTGATAAACGTTTGCTCTCCATGATGTTTCCAAACTTTGATTTCTGTGTTAGATTCATATTGACGAGGTGATGTTGGAGCGTGATTGGTGGAGGTTTCATGATCATAAACCTGCTGTGAAAATAAAAACTTAATTAAAACATATTTAATATCTTTTGATTCTCAATGTCAATTTAAATATTCTGGCTGTCTCTCAACAGTCAGAAGCTTTTTAGTTCATGTGTTTTCAGTTCCTCAGACTATTTTGTCGTGTCTTTGATCAGGTAACTCCTTCTTTATGAAACGTGTCATCATCTCAAAGATAATTAAATCAACACTGTTATTATAAATCTAACACATTTGTGTCCGTCCATGAGTTCGTGTCTCAGTTGTTGTTCCACAAATAACGACGAGAACCCTGTTGTTCTGACTCGTGTTCCTCCCTCAGAGGCCGCCGCTCTGCCGTGGCGTTCATCCTGACAGAGTTGGACCTCTCGGAGACGAGTCGAGCAGAACTCTCAGCTCTGTAGCTCCAGCTACAAAACTTTCCCCACAGTTTTCACCCGAGGCAGCTGAAAGTTGGCATGGAGGTCAAGTAAGTTTGTGTGTGAACATGTGTGTTTGAGGTTCTGCCACTTGGCTAAAAGGAGGCGTGGTAATGGCGGTGGCCTTCAGTGAAAAGGTGCACGTAACAACTTGCACACGTTTTTATGGAAAGATTGGTCATCAGACAGACCGCTTGTAAACACACCGTGTGCCTAAGCAAAAGTCCGTTTTAGTTTAAAAATAAAGAAATACAGACGAAGAATTGCACCGGATTTAATTTTGCATGGACCAATCACGAGCTGGGACTGTTACTGAATGGTGGCGGCGGAAAACAGACTGGGAGTAAATATGGTGACATGCACAGTACAAGTGTGGGCTGTAAGTGTTGTTTGCACGGTACAAAATATTTTAATGAAAATACCAAATCAAAAACTCCGTCAGCAGCATCGTGTTTCTGCTTTGCACGACTTATGAGACCCAATCAGAGAGCCGAGCGTGAGCGTCATCGTTTCTAAAGTCCTCCGTTCTTACCCGTTTTCACTAAAACGCTACCTGGAGTTTTAAAATGAAAAACGGGGTCGGCAGCGTTTTCAAACTTCTCCGTTTTAGGTCTTTGTTTTCACCGTTTAGTCTGGACGGGAGGCGCAGACGCAGCAAAAGCTCTCTGCTTTAAAACGAAAACGCGGTAGTGTGGACGGGGCCTAAGAAACAGGAAGTAGTCCAAGGATAAAATAAGAAAAGGCAAATAACTTGTTTTACAGAGACGTGAAATTCAAAACAAAAACCTACACGTGAAGTACACATATGACACAATAACATAAACATGCAGACAAAAGGACGAGACAGAAGACGAGACAGCGAGAAGGCCACGAAGATTCAGTAGTACTGTGTTGAATGTTTCCTCTGAAGCAGCATTAACTCGAGCTCTTAAAAGCTTCCACATCTGAAAAGGAAAGGGTCTCCTGGTCCTAACAGAGGGAGTGAGGTGCAAAACCTGCAGTTTGGAAAGAATTAAGGTCAGCTGATTAACTGATCATACCGCAAAAACAAAAAGCTGTCAGGTTTTAAACGGGAACAGATTCATACAGTTCAAAGGAAAGTTAAAGTCAAATAAAATCAGGAAAGGCTCTCTGATAAAAGTCTGTTCTAGGAAGGGAGTTAAAGGCGTTCACTGACTCAGCCGACCTGACTTCCTCAGGCAGGATGTTCCAAGGCCTCGCGGCCCCGATTGCAAACGGTCCCCTTTAGTTTTCAGTCGGAACTGTGGTTCCGACAGCTGACCTCTGCCCGAGGATCTCGGAGTACGTGCCGGTGCATCCGCTAATAAAACGTCAGATGGAGCAGGGGGAGAGGCCGTGAAGAGCTTTAAAGGTAATCAGTAACATTTTAAAATCTACTCTGAATCATCCTGGGAGCCCGTGTGATGAAGCCGAAACAGAAGTGATCACGTTTCTTGGTTCTGGGTCTGCAGCCTGGCAGCTGAGTCGATGAATAGATTTATGGTTCAAGCACGTTAAAAAAGGCACTGAGGTAATCCAGGCGTGTAAGATGCTCTCAGTGTCTTTAAAAGGTCGATGATAAAACCTTTATAAAAGATATACGATGCGCGGCTCCAAACTTAAAGTAGCTCTGCTCCATGAAATCCAGCTCTCCCGCTTTCTTTCTGTTTACCTTTTTATGATTGTCAGACTGTTTTCTGCAGCGAAGCAGAGGGAGTTTCATATTATAACCCTGTCATTATAGGACCATTAAATGTACCTTGAAGCCTTGAAACGGGCCTGATATGATCCACTTGGGAACCGGCAGGATTTGTTTTTGTGCCGGGACCCAAAGACCAGGATCTGAGTTCAGCTGGAGGAAATCTTTCCCTTAAGCTGAACTTAACAGAAAAAATGAAGACACAGAACCTCCTTTGTCCACACGTGAAACCAGGATGTACCAGGACTGAGCACAGGGCGGCCTCAGTGCTGGGACGCTTGTAATAAAAGATAACGTGGAAAAAATCTACAGTTTTATGGGAGGGAGGAATCCAGACCAGGTTGGTTTATCAGCAGAATCACATGAGCAGTAAATCAGTCGGCAGATAAAAACACAGACTGCAGTAAAACTCTGTTGGAATTACTTTGAGAGGGCTGGAAGACAAAGTAATGGGATAAAACCGGTTAAAACGGTCTTGTTGCGGGTGAGGGATGTCACGGTAAGAGGTATTGTGGGTAATAGAGGCTCTAATTGACTCCACTTTAACAGTAACATAAGCAAATAACAGTTCACAGTCCCTTTCAGACGGGGCACAGGGAGGAGGATCCTCCGCCTTAAATAAAGAAGTCTTTAATTATAACCAGATAATAAACCCTGTCATGTACTGTACATGTTTTTCCCATCTTTGCTTCCCTGCACTCTTTTCCAGCTGTGAATATTTAGTCATTTATCTGCTTCCTCACTCCTTCCTCATCTGCAGGTGGAGGAGGAGCCACAATATTTTACTCTTAATAATCTTAATTTTAAGATAAAGCGCAGTCACGCTGTGAGCATACTGTAGATTATTTTCTTGATTAATCGATAGTCGTTAGGCCCAATGTGACGTCCACAGATGACTTCTTGTATCCTCAACCCGGAGATGATCAGTTTACTGTCACAGAGGAGGAAAGAAACCAGAAAATATTCATGTTTACGAAGCCGGAATCACATAATTTGGACGTTTTTTTTTAAAAAAGGGCAAAACTGTTGGTCAGTAATTTTGAAGTTGACATCTAATCGATTAGTCAACGTATTGCAGCTCCAGTGGACTGCTGAATTTAAAAACAGCGCTGGTGTCTTACTGGAAACGACCACTAGGAGTCGCTAAAACACAGAACTGTTGAGATCCTCCACAGAGGAGCTAAGTTTGGACATTTTGTGAATTAACTCGTCAGTTTGAGGAAAACCAGTTCAGGTGTATCCGACTGCAGTTCTGTGTCGGGCTCTGATTGGTTCATCACGGCTGCTTCTTCACCGCTCAGACCTGACCCCGGCGTGACGCCAGCCTCGAACAGCACTGAGTGGATTAGTGCTGATGCACCAGAGTTTGATTGTGTTTTGACACACTTTAAAGACGACTCTGACAAATCCTACCGTCATCGGGATCTGGGAATGGCTGCGTTTAGGTCGGCTGTAATGTGATCAATAAGATCTCCGTGCAGGTCGGCTGATCAAGATCTAACTTTACTTCCTTAAGAAGGATTTTCTGATCTGAGTCTGAACAAAACATCTTTTTGCATCACTTTGATGCTTTCTTGTAACTTGAGTATTTCTACACTGTGGTATTAGTACTTTAACTTCAGATCTGAGTACATTACATTTACATGTATTCATTTAGCTGAAGCTTTTATTCTCAGTTGCTCTACATGTCAGAGGTCGCGCGTCTGGAGCAACGAGGGGTTAAGTGTCTTGCTCAGGGACACCTTGGTGTCTCAGTGGATCTAACCCGGGTCTCTCACACCAAAAGCTTGCGTCTTATCCAGGTTGACAGGTTTTAAAGACATTCTCAGAAATGTTCTGCACATTCACAAACTTAAATTCTCATGTGTTTCTACAAAAGCTGGAGAACAACACAACAACAACCAATAAACACCTTTCAAACATCATTTCTCAAACTACACACAAAGGTTAAAGGTGCTCCGTGTAAACCTGCAGATCCTCCGACCGCTCTGTTGTCCTTTTGACCCTGACCGTTCATCCAAACGCAGTAAAGCGGAAACAACAACGGGACCGGGTCCAGCAGCAGGGCCAGATGCCACAACAAAGGCGTGTGAGACGTTGTCCCACCTCTTTAAGCCTCTTAGTGCCTGTAAGTCTGCCTGCCTGCCTGCAGCCGGCCTGCAGGGCTGCCGTTGGCCCTGATCACACCGTGATGATTTAATCCCTCAGTGGAAAAGGTTAGCTCTCCTTCTCTCAGGCTTGTCACCCTGCCAGCCGCAAATGCACAGAGAGGAAGACCAGAAGAAGATCTGGAGGGCGATGGAGGAGCTTCTGTTACCGAGCGGCGAGGAGGAGACCCTCTCCGAGAACAGTTCGCATGTTCCCGGGGACGCGGGGAGGACGGTGGAGGACCAAATGAAGAATTTTGTCAAGGCGACGGTGAAGGAGGACCTGAGTAAGAACGTGAGGGATTTCTTTAAGAGGAACGGGCTGCTGACGCTGTCGGTCATCGCCGTGGCCACGGGCTGCATGCTGGGCTTCATGCTGAGAGGAACTCACCTGTCCACACAGGTATGACTCACCTGAGGGAAGGTTTTACTGATCCTGTACTTTATTTCTTTTAGCTGCTCAGACTCGTGTTGATACGTTTTTTGGACACATTTTAGACAAAGTGACTTTATCACATGAATACTCAACACTTTGTTCGACCCACCGTGATGTTCAGTTTGTGTCTCACTCACAAAGGTAAAGATTAAACTTGGTAAAGCAGAGGCTAGTTAGCATTAGCACTGGTGGGAACTGTTGGGTCTCTGTAAATAATATAACAGACAGTATTCTCTATAAGAAAAGTGCAGTGTTGTTCTGAATTGGCGTTAAAAAATAAAACTGAATTGATTCCAATAGACGTTACGTTATTTTCTGTCCAGGTTTCAGACTCAGATGATCATGTTGCAGCTGTTTGTTTACATGTTAGCCACAACTACTTTATAAGGCGATAACATGTCGGATGACGTGTTTACAACCTGTTCTGCTGCCCCAGGTGGGCGAAAAAATATCTAACAGATTAATATGTCCCGTTAAGCTCCCATGTTGATGTTTAGGGCTCGAACATGAGCAAGAAATTGTTATTGTCCCAAATTAAATTAAATGACAAATGGCAAAATGGCTCACTAGCGCCCCCTAAAAAGCAACCTGAATTAAATGGTCATTTTGTGTTTTACAGGGTGCGTACTTTAACAAACTCCTCTTACAGAATTAATCCGATCGATTTCAAATTTTTGCTGTGCAATCTAAAGGCATTGACGATGAAATGTTGTGCTATCTGTGAGTTTTTGTCCATGAGCGTGTCCGTGGCGTGGCGTTGAAAATCGATCATTCGCCTTGAAACAGGAAGTTGTTGTACATGCTCAGATCTGCACCAAACTTTATGTTTTATAAGAGTCCCGCCCTGAACACATGTACATGGCAAAATCACAAAATGTAATGGCATAAAAATCATTTGATTTACATGTTATTTTTCAATTCAAGTACTGATACAAACATAAATTTAGCAGGTGCTGTCTAGTGCCACATAGGTGGAGGTGCATCTCACTGACATACCCCAATGTGCTTCAGGGCGCGAGGGCCCGTCCAACGCTTCTTGTAGCTTTAATTTCCTTTAAATTCCGGTCAGGACTTCAAGCCTGCTCCCAGGGTGACACTTCCTTTAAGGGTTCCCTGTTTTTGACTAGTAGCAATGTTTTAACGGGTGAGTGACGAGTTTGGTTTGTATTGTGCAAGAGGACGCACGTTCATGCGAGCGAGCGAGCAGGCCGGCCACGTGGGATACACATTCCTGCCAACCGCTTCAAGCTCTTCTTCTTATGTAAAAAGAAATGTCACTGTGTGCTTCCTGCGTGGAAGAATTAAACTGCTGTCCCGCAAACAAGGACAAAAACAATGAAATGCACAGAATAAAAATGCATGCGTCAAAGCTCAAAAAGTCGCACAGGGAGCTTTAAATTTCCCCTCATGCCTTCCTCCGTGTTGACACTTTCACGCTGCTTGTATGAAACAGTGTCAGCCTAAACAGCCGCAGAGGGAGACTGCAGCCAATCCAACGTCATTAATCCCTCCTTTCAGTTACTGGCTGCCAGCCTCTCAGAGAGTTTCTCCTTCTTGTCTTCTCTGCTGAGGAGCTGAAAGTGAAACAAGTTCAGTAATAAAACGCGGCAGTAAATCAAGACGCTGAGCTCATGTCCTCTGTATTTATTCTGGCAATAATAATTTACTCTTTTAGACACCTGAAACGGACGCATCAGGTATTTTAAGCCTCCGCACGTTTAAATATGACTTCATTTAACGCAGGCCGACATTAAAGAGGTCATATTCTGCTTTCCTTTATTGTGTTAAATATCTTTTTTTGTGCATGTAATAGGTTTGCAAAGTTAAAAAGCAACAACGGAGCGTTCAGTGAAACGAGGCGCTGCAGCAGTGTGCAAATGCTGAACCTGGAAATGAGCAGAATATGACCTCTTTCAAAATAAACCACTGAAGCTGTTTAGATTTAATGCTGGGTGATAAAATGCACATAAATAATTAAACAACAAACTGTAATACACTTCTAATGATCCATCAGTTAATGAAGCTGCAACTATTTACACGATCAGTCCTTCAGTTTCAGAAAAGTACTCGGATCCTTACTTTAGTAAAAGTAGTAATAATAGAAGTAAAAGTCCTTCAGCACAGCAGATTCTCTGAGCTTCTTCAGTTACGTTTGTCTGTAATATCCGTAAGTCAGTTCAGCTGTTAGTTAAAAATAGTTCTGTTTCTGTGCGAACTGACTTTCCAGGAAGAATTGATCCGTCTCAGACAGACTGTATCGAACAGCGGCTGGAGATAGTCTGCACAGAAACATGGAGGTCATTGAGCCACTTAGACAACATGTGATGTCAAATGTGAAGTCAGACCGGCAGCGTTGGCAAAGTACTTATAGGCAGGTCCTGCCACTTGGCCGCCATCTTGGCAACGCCTCCGGGCAGCTATTTGGACCAATAATATCTGAATGAATGGCGAGAGAGCCAGAGCTGCACGTTCACTGGTCACTGGGACATAAAAAACACATGAATAGAATCAGCATTAAAATCAAAATTAAAAAGTTGGACAGCTTTGCCCCAGAATAAGGTTTAAAAAGCGTTTCTCCCCACCGGTTATAGTTCTACGCTTCTAGTGAGGCATGCGCAGTAGAGCCGCACGATTGGCTGAAAGAATCTTTCCCTCCTCGGCTGTTAAAAAGAAGACTATTGGCTTTCTAATGGGAGAGGTGGGACAACGCCATCTTTGGCGTTACAGGCCTGTATCTATATAACGTCTCTGGCGTTGGTGAGGAAGCAGAAAGTAAACCAAGTCACCAGATCTGAGGTTTCTTTAGTTTCTTCATTTATCTTATTGTATTTCAGTGGTGGAAGAAGTATTCAGACCTTTTACTTCAGCAGGAGTAGTAAAACAGCAGTGTAGAAATACAGAACCAGAAATACTTTATTGATCCCTGAGGGGAAAATTGTCGCGTTACAGTTGCTCACATTGCTAAAAATAAAAAACAGGATAAAAGAAATAGAGAAATACAAATTGGAGTGTAGAAATAAGTGCAGTATTCTCCAGTACGTGACAGAAGTAGCATGAATAAATATTAATATAATAATGAGTGAACTGTTACAAGTAAAAATCCTGCAATTAAAATGTACTCAAGTAAAAGTATTACACCAATACCAAAAGTAAAAGTACTCATGCAGAATAATATATTTTGTAAAGAATAATTTGATTCAGCAGAAAGAAACATTAGTTTTCAGATAAATGGAGTGAAGTAAAAAGTACTAGATTTCCCTCTGGCATGTGGTGCAGTAGGAAGTATAAAGTAATAAACCCAACATTTTCAGGGGAAAAAGGTTAATAGATTTCACTTACAGTGGAAGTCTGAAGAAGGCCAGTGTTTAGAAATAGCACCCTGAGCAGAGGCTCGCAGGCTCGCACTGCTGGACAAGCAACCACCAGCTGAGTGTTTGAACTCTTTATAACATGTTAAAATGGCACACCGGTGGCGTGTTTCTCAGGCCACCGCACACAAAAGTTCAAGCTTGACAGCCAACAGAAATGCAGCTGATTGTTTCTCCATGAATACTAACAGCTCTGTCACGTGTTTCCCTTTTATTTTGAAGTTGCTCTGTCCCTGGTGTCTTTGTCTGGTTTTGCTTCCTGTCCTTGGCTGCAGAAAAATCAAAAATCAAATCAGTGTGTGGGAAACACTGAAATGAGACATTACATTTACTGTAGAGGTCATCCAGCTTCATTGAGGCCTTTATTAAGGAAGAATCTGTGACAGAAGTAAATCAATGATATTGCTGAAGGCTGCAATACATTGGCCAAAAATAACTAATGCAAACTGAGCATTTGACGTGAGCCTACACGCTGCAACACGATCCTCACTTTGATCATTTTACAAGACCAGCAATGCAGCTCGCATTGGGTCTCAGTTATTGTTGACAGTTCAAGACATAGACTACTTTGATTTTCTAATCGCAAAGGCTGCGATTACGCTCTGGTCTGTCTTTTATCCGTCATGGTCTCTAATTTCTTTTCTTTTTTTTTATTGTATAAAATTCAAATACACTTACTGTCGAATAATGTTGTTGGAGCAGCATCAGATTACAGCAAAGCCAAAAGAAAGCAGGAAATTGTGGGTCTTATTCGGGTGTCATGATGTGCGTCTGTATTGCAGGATTTTGTTACATGTTGTCGATGGATTTTATCGTTTGAGAACGTGAGTCGCTTTAAATGTTGCTGCCGCAAGGAATTGTGGGACGGCATTATCTCCTTTCCTTGACCTCATGACGTTTTCCGTTAAGGTCAAGGAAAGGTGGTTAGGAAAGGAGATTTTTTTTTTTTTTTACTTTTCGACCGCAGCCCTGGTGTAAAAACGCTAAAGGAGATAAGAAAGGAAGCACTGAGGCACCTTTCCTCAGCTTTTAGAGAATTCGACCAGCTCTCATCATGGCTGACACTGAAATACTTCACTCAGTTAGGAATCTTCCTGAGCAAAAAAGACTTTTTGACCGCAACCCTTGTGTCTCTGGGTTGCTTGTTTGCACCGGCCCTGATGTGTTTCACCCGTGTCTCGTCTCTCTTCGTTGTTTCTGCAGACGTCTCGGTGGCCAGCCTCGAGCTTCCTGGTGTTTTATGGAGCAGAAGAAAACAAGTACTGCAAAACTTACAACGACATATATGTTTTAAATGAAGAGGATGGCATATTCACTTGTCTCTTTGGAGCTGCTCACTTCCTCAGCAGCCTGTAACTTCAGTTTCTGTGTTCCCGACAGATCCCTTTTAATGTGCCGTTTTGAATGACCTAAAACACTACAGTTCCCATGAGCACTAGGGAGAAGGCTCCATAGACATCTAGCAACGCACCACAGCTGCCGCAGTGATCGGACAAGTTTAACAAAGATGAACTTTACTCACTCTACTGGAAGCTAGAGCTGTAACAATTAATTGGATAATCGATTCGCTGTCAACTATTAAATTAACGAGCAAATATTTTGATAATCGATTAATAATTGGTTTGAGTCATTTTTTAATAATAACTTATATTTATATAGCGCCTTTCACAAGACCTAAAGATGCTCAACACATAATTGCAGACCGAGCAACAAAAAGTCATTCAGGGTTGAATGCCTTTGTGAAGAGGTGGTTTTAGGAGTTTTTTGAAGGTGTCCAGAGAGGGAGCATTTCGGATCTCTGTGTGGATGGAGTTCCAGAGGGTGGAGGCTGCGATGCTGAAGGCTCTGTCCCCAAAAGTCCGCAGTCTGGTGCGGGGGACAGAGAGCAGGCCCTTGTCGGAGGACCGCAGGTTCCTGTGAGGGGGGGTAGGGGTGGAGAAGGTCCAGTAGGTACTGGGGGGCAGTGGCATGGAGAGATTTATAGGTGAGGAGTAGGGTTTTGTAGGTGAAGCGGAATTTGACCGAGAGCCAGTGAAGCTGAGTGAGGATTGGGGTGATGTGCTGCCACGACCTTGTGTGTGTGAGAACCCTGGCAGCCGAGTTCTGGACGTATTGTAACCTGTCCAGGACCTTGCTGGGAACCCTATACAGGACACCATTACAGTAGTCCAGGCGGGAGGTGACGAAGGCGTGGATGAGATACTCTTCCACAGAGTCTGAGAGTGATGGTCGAAGTCTGGAGATGTTTTTGAGGTGGTAGAACGCAGATTTGGTAATAAGTTTGACATGTGACTGGAAGGAAAGGGTGGAGTCCAAGATGACACCAAGGTCGTGGACTTCTTGGGATGGAGAGATGGAGCAACCATCCACTTTGAGGAGTAGATCACCACACTATTTTTCTGAACTCATTACTACACATAAACACAATCCCAGGTTTTCTGTTCTAAGACTGTGGATCAGCTGGTAAACCCAACCCCTCCTTGTGCCTCAGCTGGAAGTAATGATGACTGTGAATTGTTTTTATCTTATTTTACCAATAAGGTGGTGTCAATCAGAGCCTCTATTACCCTGTGGCCTCTTACTCAGAGGTTCCTCACCAGCAACAAGAGAGTTTTAACCAGTTTTATCCCATCGACTTGTCTGAGCTTTTAAAAACAGTATCACAAATGAGAGTGTCCTCCAGCCCACTTGATGTAATACCTACAGAGTTTTACTGAAAGTAATGGATTCTGTTGGGCCCCATTTGATCTCTGTTTTCAACAGCTCCCTATCTACTGGTTGTGTCCCTGATTATTTTAAAACGGCTTGCGTGAACCCACTTTTAAAGAAACCTGGTTTAGATCCCTCCCTCCCACATAATTTTAGACCAATTTCAAAACTGCCTTTTATTGCAAAGATTCTAGAAAGAATTGTGTCCAAACAGCTGCTCACTGTGCTGGAAAATAACAAAAATATTTGAAAAGTTTCAGTTTCTGGTTTCAGGAAGTACCACAGCACTGAGACTGCCCTGCTTAAAGTCACCAATGACCTTTTAATGTCTGCTGATGAAGGCATGTGCTCAGTCCTTGTACTCCTGGACCTTAGCGCTGCTTTTGACACCATTGATCACAACATCATGTTAGACAGACTGAGGCACTGGGTGGGGATCTCTGGTACTGCCCTAGAATGGTTTTCATCCTACCTGTCAAATAGGAAGTTTTGTGTGTCTGTAAACAACTATGTCTCCTCGTTCTGTCCAGTTAAATATGGTGTGCCTCAGGGGTCGGTCTTAGGACTCATTTTTTTCCTTGTATCTGCTTCCCCTTGGACATATTATCCATAAAGATGGAATTTCTTTTCATATTTATGCTGATGACACACAAATATACTTGCCCGTCAGATCCACAGACCCTGGAATGCTGAGTTCACTTAACAACTGCCTTTGTGAAGTTAAAAAATGGATGTCAAATAATTTCCTCCAGCTGAACTCAGACAAAACAGAAATCCTGGTCATCGGGTCTCAGCAGATGGCAAAACAAATACTGCCATCTGCTGGTTCCCTAGTAAATCACATTAAGCCTGTGGCAAAGAACCTTGGTGTTGGTTTGATAGTAATTTAAATTTCGAGCAGCACACCACAAAACTTGTTCAATCATGTTTTTATCAACTTAGAAATAGAGCAAAAAATTCGATCTATGTTAACTTTTAAGGACACCGAGACCATTTTACACGCCTTCATCTCATCACGCCTGGATTATTGCAACAGCCTTTTCACCTGTTTAACCCAAAAATCTACTGATCGACTCCAGACTGTCCAGAACTCAGCTGCCAGGCTTTTAACCAGAACAAAGAAATATGACCACATTACTCCTATTTTAGCTTCATTACACTGGCTCCCAGTATGTTTTAGAATTGAATTTAAAATTCTATTGATCACTTTTAAAGCTCTTCATGGCCTCTCGCCTTGTTATATTTCTGACCTTTTAGTCCCATACGCACCAGCACGTACCTTGAGATCCTCGGGCAGAAGTCTGCTGTCTGTTCCAGAGTCTCGACTGAAAACTAAAGGGGACAGAGCGTTTGCTGTCAGGGCCCCGAGGCTCTGGAACAGCCTGCCCGAGGAAATCAGGTCGGCTGTGTCAGTGAACTCTTTTAAGTCCCTTCTTAAAACATACTTTTATAGGAGAGCCTTTCCCGATCTTATTTGACTTTATTTTATCCCTTTTATTTTATTCTATTTTACTAATTTTATATTTATCTTAAATGTGTATTTTAGTCTTTTCAATGTTTTCTTGCTTTTATCTTGTATTGATTTTGTATTATTGTCTTTTGGGTATTATTGTCTTTACACTTGTTAAAGCACTTTGTAACTTGTTTTTGAAAAGTGCTCTGCAAATAAAGATTATTATTGTTGTTGTTATTATTATTATTATCCTCAAGAGGAGCGGCTTGGGAGCCACTACCATTAGCTCCGTTTTGCTGCTGTTTAGCTTGAGTAGATTGGATGACATCCAGGTTTTTATTTGAGGGAAGCTGAGTGGATGGTTTGGTGCTGATATACAGCTGTGTGTCATCAGCATAACAGTGTAAACTGAGACCATGGTGACGTATTATCTGGCCGAGGGGGAGCATGTTAATGGTGAAAAGGAGGGGTCCAAGCACTGAGCCTTGTGGCACACCTTGTTTGACTGGCCCCAGTCAAACAAGGAAGAAAATTATCTAATTCCAGCGTTTAAATGTGAATATTTTCTGGTTTCATTCCTCCTCTGTGACGAGTAAACTGAAGCTATTTGGGTTGTGGACAAAACAAGACATTTAAGAACGTTATCTTTTGCTTTGGGAAACACTGATCAACATTTTTGACATCTTTCGGACACTTTTAGACTAATTAACGACTAATCAAATAATCGACAGATTAATTAACTGTGACAATAATCGTTTGTTGCAGCTCTACTGGACGCTGCTTTATCTCCTGCCAACTAAACGATGACAACGTCACGCTTTTATTTTGAAGTGACGTGTATTTTCTAAAACGCATCTCTCGTTTATCTCCGCAGGCAAAGATCTACTTCTCTTTTCCCGGAGAGCTGCTAATGAGGATGCTGAAGATGCTCATTCTTCCCCTCATCACGTCCAGGTGGGTCGATGTGACGCTGAAAATCACCCTGCTGAGGGGAGATAATCCATCACAGTCAGTGTTTACTCGACTGCTTTTACGTGTTGGACCCTTTCTGACATTTAAGGTTCCTCTACTGCAGTGGTCTCCAGACGTTTCTGCTCCTCACAGCCCTCTAACAGACTTTATGGGGAGTGTTTAGCTCCAGAGAAAAGTCAGTGGTTGTGCTGAATCCTCAGGACAGAATCTTGGACTCGTCTGTGTTTCACTTTGGTCTGTTTTGTTTATATTCCTGATATGTTCCACAGTCTAATGTGTGTTGTGTTCAGGTGATTTAATGAACACAGTGAACAGTGTGTCTGTGCAACGTCACTCAGCTCTGCTGCTGCTGCTGCTGCCTTCCGGTGTCTGCGGAGATTAAAATAACTGAAGGAGAAACTTTATTTCAGTCATGGAAGAATCACTGATTTATTTATAAATCAAAGATGATTACAGACGTTCCATCTTTAAAGCGACATAATAATAATAATAATCCTTATTTGTAGAGCACTTTTCAAAAACAAGTTACAAAGTGCTTTAACAAGTGTAAAGAATAATACAAAAAAACAAGATAAGAGCATGAAAAATTTATATAGAATTAGTAAAATACAATAAAATAAAAGGGATAAAATAAAGTCAAATAAGATTGGGAAAAGCTCTCCTATAAAAGTATGTTTTAAGAAGGGACTTAAAAGAGTTCACTGACTCAGCCGACCTGATTTCATGTGAGATGTGGTGCTTTGAGCGATTTGGGACCGTTTCAGAGTGAACTTCCCCGCTGTTATAAATAAGGACAGCAGGAGTTATTTTCCTGTTCTGTTACCTGTTGTCCCCCCCCCCCCCCCCACCACCTTCTCTTGCAGGTGTTCTCCTCTCTCTGTGGTGTTTGTTTGCTCCCTCCATCCCCATGCCTTCTCCCCCCTGTCCGGCCCGGTGACAAATCCATACATATTTAAATAAATAATAAAACAGACAAAGGAGTATATTAATATAATGTTAAAGTAAAATCTGTCTACAGGGCAGGACAGGGTTAAAATAAATAAATGAATAAAATAACAGATAAGGACTTCTGTGCATGCGCATTGTTATGATTACATTAGTTATGATGAAAAACTAGCAAGTCGCCGCCTTTGCTAACAGCCAAACACAATACGAGTGCGACAACACAAGACAGAGCAACACTACTGAGCAGTCCAACAGAGAGACGTCAAGCTCGCCGTCTGTCCTGCAGACTTTTATTTCACTGAGCTCTCGCTAGTGTTGTAGTCCAGACCGCCCAAACCGAGACCAAGTCAAGACCGAGACCAGAGTTTATCAAGACCGAGATTTTAGGGGCTGAGACCAAGACCAGTTCCCCACATTACATGGCACACAAAAAAATCAGAGGTGCTTCTCAGATTGATCTGAAAGATCCACATTCCCATTAAAACTCGCAAATATACAAACACTAAGAGCTGAAATCAACGTAAGCAACGCTCCTTTTCCATGTTTACCATCACCGGTAACAACGCATTTTTATTTAGGGTTATCTACATCCACTCAAAGTTAGAATGTTAATAAATACAGATAATGCAAAAGCAATTTATTGATATTACCAAAGTTATGGACTTGAAATAAAATCCTGAGTTCTCAATGCCAGAGACCGAGACAAGACCGAGTACAAGTGCGGTCGAGTCCGAGACGAGACCAAGACCTTTAAAAAGTGGTCTCGAGACCGGTCTCCAGTACTACAACACTAGCTCTCGCTCAGTCTCTCTCTTTTTCTCTTCCTCGCTTCCTCCGTCAGCGTCCTCTTCGGTCTCTTGGCCTCTGACGTTAGTTAACGTTACGTCCGTAGAGGCTGCTCAGCCCCAGTCCCAGATTTACTCTTCTCCGGTCTCTGTCTTCCTCCGACATCTTCTTCAGTCTCTTTGCAGCCTCTGATATCCATACTGAGAACACACAGCTAGCTTCTTCCAGAGAACTCACACTGTACATTTTATCCTTGTTGCTTCCTCTTATAGCTCGCTGAAGAGTGTCGTTAAGTGTTGTGAGGTTATAAAGCAGCAACGCTGTTCTCGCGATCCTGCCCTGAAATTCAATCCTACGTAGTGCCAGACATGATAAAAGACGTCATTCTCCAAATTACATGATAAAATTACTACATAGTGTCGCTTTAATCACATCTATTGGTTGGAGAGTAGGGCTGGGCAAGAAACCAATAATGATAATTATCACAATATAATATTTCTCAATAACAATATAAGTCAATAAATGTTTGATTTATTTAATTTAAATCACAAACAAATTAGCACTTCATTTTCTATTAAGATATTTATTATGTTGAGGAAAAGGGGCTGAAAAAATATTTACTTTTTGTTATAATTTGAATGTTCTACCTCAGATTTGTGAAGTGATCCACTTTTTAGAAGCAAGTGTTTGTCACGTTCAACCACAATTAACTATCTGGTTTCTTCAAGTTTTCACTCAGGAGCAAAAATCAGCCTCTAAACTTGAAAGAAATAAAGATTGTACCTTTATCGTGATAATTACCGATATCGAATGGTTTAAATTTTTTTTGTCACGATAACATTGGAGAGTGTTTAATTAAAATTATTTTAAAATTTACATTTTAAGATTATTCTGTGATTTCTACACATTTGCTGCAAGTTTTTAGTTTAGCTTTTGTCAGTAAAACTACTAAAGTGGCAGCAGAAGGACGCTGCACCAGAAACAGACGTCAGCTCAAAAACACATTTTCCACCAAAATACCAACAAGCTGCTTCATCTGAATGAACCTCCCACCAGAGCTGAAGAGTTTCAAGGTCAGGAAGATGCCAAACTGTCGGAACGCTGCTTATTCCCAAATAATAATAAGTCTTCAGTCATGCTAGCAGCTGTACTGTGGTGCTTTGAGCTAAATGCTAACATCCTTTTTAGCAGGTATAATGTTTATGATGTTCACCATCTTAGTTAGCATGCTAGCATTTGCTAATTAGCATTAGACAGTAAAGAAAAAAAATGCTGTCTTTCTTTCTGTTTTGAGTCTCGCCGAGGTGATTTTCATCAAACTGAACTTGAAACCTAACAAACATGTTACGCTAGCTGTCTCCACTCGCTTCCTGTCCTTATGCTAAGCTAGGCTAAACGCATCCTGTCCGTTTGTCCTGTGTGCAGTTTGATGTCGGGTCTGTCGTCGATGGAGTCGAAGGCGTGCTGTCGTATCGGCGTCCTGACCGTCACCTACTACCTGTGGACCACCTTCATCGCCGTGGTCGTCGGCATCGTGCTCGTCCTCATCATCAAACCCGGCGTGGGGACGGAGATGGAGAGTCACCGGCTGGGAGCGGGGCCCGTCATGACCTCGGCCGACGCCCTGCTCGACCTCATCAGGTGAGAGAGGTCAGCTTAAAGGTGGATGTTCAGAGGCCATAAAGTATCAGATGGGGGACTCTCTGGAACCAGGACAGCCCGCCTCAGCGCATCAGACGCTGAATATCTTCCTCTGTCATTTTGAAAAGATGCTGCCTTCAAATGAAACCTGTGAGTTTGTTTTGGGGGGAATGTAAGTAAGGATACAGGCTGGATATTGATGACTGCGATGTGCGTGACGGTGCACAGCTCAGCAGCGAGCGCACTTCTGGTAAAGGTTGAAGGCAGCAGGCGGTGTTGAGGTTAAAGTTTAAATTGGAGACGATGTTATTGGTTGGAGGTTTTGCTTGCTGTGCGTCATGCTCAGTGTTGCTTCCAAAATGTAATACATCATAGATTATTAGTTACTGTCATTTTAGAGTAATTAATTATATTACTGTCTCTGAATTACAATGCTTTTCACTACTTTTGACCTGACTACCTTTCACTGCAGTTTAATGAGCGCATTATTCAGGTGGGAAGGTGTTCCACTGTGCACATTTACACCTGAGGTACAGCATCATAACTTTATTGATTATTTAAATCTCCGGCACAGGTTCGGTCAGGATGCACTGACAGCAGCCTCGCTGATCAGGAATGGAAATCGTGGTCCATCCATGGTGATAAAGATGCAGAAAAATAGAAATGCAGGTCAAAATATTTTAGAGACCGTCTAAAATTTTCTAAAGTTTTCAGAGGAGCTCCCATCTTATTAAGACCTGTAGTTTGCACCTTCTCTACAATCTCAACCACTGAACTCCAGCAAGGGCGTCACTTTGTGTTGAAAAGCGGTGGGGACACAGGGGCTCAGATCAGGGGTGTGAAGAGACACTTCACGATACGCGATATTAGGTTCACCAGAACGAGACTAAAAGATGCTTAGACAGTGTTTTAAAGATATCCTCAGTGCCGAGCTAATCGTCCCTGCTGAAGCAGCACACATGCAGGCACGATTTAGTCGTCCCTCCTCCTTTGTCATGTTCACAGGGAGAGAACGGGAAAAAAAAGAAACTGTGTCAAAAGCTTGTTAAAGTTACTGATCGTTTTTAGGTTGTTTTATAATCAGCGCTTGTTTTTTGGGTGTTTTTTTGCTTAAGTTCCTTTTTTTGGACAGTGCACTTTTGCTTCTTCTACATTTTAATCGCATTGCCTGTTTTCTTAATGTGTAAACAAACCTTTCTAAAGGCATTTTCATTTGTTAGTTAACTGCAAGCTGTATTTCAGAATGTTTTTAAACAAAGTGTGCTTTAAAAAAGTGGTGGGGACAATGTCCCCAGGGTCCCCAGAGTGAATGACACCTATAAACTCCAGCAACAGGAAATAACGCTACTCTTTTCACGGTGGTAGGATGACCAGACGTCCCGAAAAATCCGGGACAGTCCCGAATTACGAGCAGTTGTCCCGACCCCTTTCCGGTTTGTCCCGAAAATTAGACCTAACATGAGTTTTGAGCCTAATTAAACATTAAATATCGTATATGATCGTTGTGTAGTTCTCTTGCTCCAGCAGGGGTTGCAGGTTATCTGTACATTGTGTCAACAGCATTGGTGTGTTTTATTTTTTATTATTACAACACAATATCAGTATTTAATTTTTTTAATAAGAGAGTTATCATCAATACCGTTGGAAAGAACTCAGGACTCGTGGCTTTCAGGCGCTTCCGCGTAGTTTAGAAACCTCTGAGTTTCCTGGCTGTAATTAGCGGCTGGATGTTGACGAACGCTGTGTTTGTTTGTGTTTGCAGGAGGAAGCAGCAGGTGTTTATGAGGGAGGAAACATGGCAATAATAAATCCTTCAGTGGGTTAAACTCAGTGTCAGCCTTTCACTGCACGGGGGGGGGGCGAGGTTGTTGATCATTTAAGTGAATTATCAGCCACAAACTGTCAATCATTCTCGGAGTCGGCCTCTCAGTGACCCGAGTTTTGGACTGTTGGAAATAAAAAACAGGACATTTGAAGACGTCAGCTTTACAGAAATAAATAAATGATAAATTTTGACAGTTTACAGACAAAACAATGAATTTATTAATAAAATTGTTGGTAGATAAATTGATAATTAAGGTAATGTTTAGTTGTGAATAAAGAAAACACTAAAAATACAAATAATGAATTTATTGATGCTCAGAGGGACGACCTCGCTGTCAAAAGAAGTAAAAGTTAAATAAATCTTAACTTTAATCATCTTTAATCAGTCCCTCCAGGCTTTCAAGGGCCTTTTTTCAGATTTTGCAGCAGCTTTTCTAAAAAATAGTGATGAAAGTTGCAATGTTCTTTTTTGCTATTAAATTGTGGGAACAAGTGAAAACAGCAAAGGTGGATTTTAAACTTTAGAAATATAGTTGAAAAGGGCCTAACCCTAAAGCGCCTGACATACTTACTTTTCAACAATGTGTAGGCGTAGACAGGTGTCGGCGAAGCGAACGACGTTGTTCACATACTTGCCTGCGTACTTTGCGTGTACCTGGAGGATTTAACCTGAATCCACTAGGACCGGATCATCTCTCGAATTTGCACATTGTAAACAAACTAAACACGGCGACACTGGAGCAGGTTGTGGCTTTAATGAGACGTCATAACGATCTCAGTAATTGCGGACTAGCTCCAGGAGTTTTATTCTAAACAACCCGCCATAAATCTTTCTTAAATCTGACCTTCTTCTTCTTTTGTGTTTAACGGCGGTTGGCAAACCCACTGCATATCGCCACCACCTGGCTGGTGTTTGGAGCAGGAGTTTGCGCGTAGCGTTAATTTCTGCAGACGTGCACAACCTACGCTCCAAAGCACGGACGCCATCTTGCGGACCCAAACGCGTAGTTAAAAGAAACAACTTATACTTAAGTCGTTTTAATAAAAGGTCGGCTAATAAAAGTGCAGTTTCTCTGTGAACAGATCAGTTTGTAGAAACTCGGTGACTGACAGACCGGAGCGGCCGAACAACACTTAGATCAACAACAAGTAGTAGAAAACACACAAACACACATTAATCCAGTTACAGACCGGGCTGATCGGTGTATTTTTAGTAATCCTGCAGGGATAAGTGACAGATTAACTGAGTCAGCGGCGGTGCCATCAATGATCTCTGCTGCAGCACGTTGGCAGACCCAGCTCACGAGCAGGTCGAACGCATCATCATCCCGTTGACCTCTGACCTTCCTGGTGAAGGTCGAGTGATCTCAAATGTTTTCCCTCCTGATTCACCGGCGTTTACCTTCCTGCCGTCCGGCGTCACGTCGGACGTGCTGGATCACGTGCACGCGCTGAAAGGGCCGGGAGCCACTGGTTTAATATATAACCATGCTTTGAATTAAAGTTTATCGTACGTTTTTAATGTTAAATCTTGATTTGTTAAGTTGTTAGTAACTAAATAAATGTTACAGCGTGACATGAAAGCTCAGATTGTTTTGTACTTCATTAAATGTACTTTACTGTAGTAAACTAAACATTTCCACGTCATTTACACGACTACTTCTTCACTGTGGCAGCAACCTGTACCTGTTTCTGTTGTCACAACATTAATACATCAAAATGTCATGAATATATTAGGTTATATATTTATTTCACATCAGTGATTGTACTGGGATTATCATGAGCGACTTGATATCACACCAAACCCGTCAAAAGATCCCCAAATTACACAAAACCTTTTTTTTTTTTTTACATCTTGTGTCAGATTAAACTAAAAGTACAATAATCCTCATAATCAATGAATCTGCTGATTATATTCTCAATTAATCAATTAATCGCTTTGTCAAAATAACATCAGAAAATGTCATTAAGTTTCATTTTGTCCAAAATCAAAATAATAATTAATTTACCACGATGTTTAGAGGAAAGTCATTTGAAATCATTTTAAAATGTTTTACGTATTGATTATTGATTAATCGACTGGTAGTTGCAGCTCTATCAGTAAAAGGAATCAGTAAATCACACAAACACACGACTATATATGTGTGTGTGTGTGTGTGTGTGTGTGTATATATATATATATATATATATATATATATATAGATCAATAGATAGATACATTAGGGCTGCAACGATTATTTTCATTATCGACTATCTGCCGACTTTTTCCATGATTAATCAACTAATCGGTAAGTCTATAAAATGTCAAGACTTTAAATGACAGAAAATATAGCAGCAATTCCTCAAATTAACAAGATAAAACCAGCAAATTTTTCACATTTTTACTTTATTATCAAAATTGTTGTCAATTAATTTTCTTTCGACCGACTAATCGAATAATCGTTGCAGCTGTAATATCTATATATTTATATTTGATCTTTATTTACAACTGTTTCTCTTATTTTCTTACAGTATATTGTGTCTTTCTGTGCTTTTGCATCTGTTGTGTATTCTTGTATCTGGAGCTGCCGTAACAAGTGAATTTCTCCTATGTGGGATCAATCAAATCTTATCCTCTTGCCCAAAAATCACCAAATTATTCACAAGTGTCCAGCTGAGAAGTTTTATTGAGGCCGTCTCCTCTCAGAACTGTGGAACAAATTATTCATGGTCCTGGTCTTGTTAGAAGAGGAAGTGCGTCCTTTTCCATCGGGCAGCTGCTGGTCTGGATTCATTTGTTTTATTGATCTGTTTTAGGGTTTTGATGCCGTTGATCATAACATTTATTATTCTGCTTTTATCTTAAACTCAGGCTCAAATATTTGAACATCGCAGCTTTGTGTTCTCGTCATTTTGAATCACGCGTCTTCTCTTTGCCTCCACAGGAACATGGTTCCCTCTAATATAATCGAGGCCACGTTTCAGCAGGTGAGACGATTCACGCGGAGAAAGTTTAGCACTTTTTCAAATCGTCTCAGAACTTCCTGTAACAAACCCGACTCTGTGTTTCTGCAGTACAAAACGGACCTGGTTCCCATCCTCAAAGTCCCGACCAGAACCATCCAGCCAAACTTCGTGTACGTGGTCCCCCACGAGAGCGGCCCCGAAGGTCGCACGGTGTACCTGGAGCTGACGCCGCCCCCAGAGATCATGTACAAGACGAGTCCCGGCAGCAGCCAGCAGATGAACGTCCTCGGCATCGTCATCTTCTCCGCCACCATGGGTGAGCAGAACGACGCACGCTTATTGCGTCCTGAGGTTTTTATAAGAAACGCCGTCTTCTAAATTGAGCTGGTTGTTAAACAGATCAGACGTCTGCAGTTTCTGTAGTTCACTCTTTTGTGAACAGGTATAACTTCTTCTACCCATAATCCCTCCCATTCCTCCCCCTGAACAAACCACAGTGGCGTTTTCTGATTATTCTTATAATAATAATAATAATAATAATAATAATAATAATAATAGCTGTGTTGTTGTAGGCCTGTTGCTGGGCAGAATGGGAGAGCGAGGAGCTCCACTGGTCAACGTCTGTCAGTGTATCAACGAGTGCGTAATGAAGATCATCAACGCTGCCGTCTGGTGAGAAGAACACACAGTACACACAGTACACGCTACAGTACACGCTACAGTACACACAGTACACACAGTACATGCTACAGTACACACAGTACACACAGTACACACAGTACACGCTACAGTACACACAGTACACACAGTACACGCTACAGTACACACAGTACATGCTACAGTACACACAGTACACACAGTACACACAGTACATGCTACAGTACACACAGTACATGCTACAGTACACACAGTACATGCTACAGTACACACAGTACAGACAGTACACACAGTACATGCTACAGTACACACAGTACACACAGTACACACAGTACATGCTACAGTACACACAGTACATGCTACAGTACACACAGTACATGCTACAGTACATGCTACAGTACACACAGTACATGCTACAGTACACACAGTACACACAGTACATGCTACAGTACACACAGTACATGCTACAGTACATGCTACAGTACACACAGTACATGCTACAGTACACACAGTACATGATACAGTACACACAGTACACACAGTACACACAGTACATGCTACAGTACACACAGTACACACAGTACATGCTACAGTACACACAGTACATGCTACAGTACACGCTACAGTACACGCTACAGTACACACATTACATGCTACAGTACACACAGTACATGCTACAGTACACACAGTACACACAGTACACACAGTACATGCTACAGTACACACAGTACACACAGTACATTCCACAGTACACACAGTACATGCTACAGTACACACAGTACACACAGTACATGCTACAGTACACACAGTACACACAGTACATGCTACAGTACATGCTACAGTACACACAGTACACGCTACAGTACACACAGTACACGCTACAGTACACACAGTACATGCTACAGTACACACAGTACATGCTACAGTACACACAGTACACGCTACAGTACACTGGCCTCTTTAACAGCAGACATGTTGTCCTGTGGAGGTTTTCTGATAGTACCCAGAGGTTTTCAGATAGTACCTAGAGGTTTTCTGATAGTACCCAGAGGTTTTCTGATAGTACCCAGAGGTTTTCTGATAGTACCTAGAGGTTTTCTGATAGTACCCAGAGGTTTTCTGATAGTACCCAGAGGTTTTCAGATAGTACCTAGAGGTTTTCTGATAGTACCTAGAGGTTTTCTGATAGTACCCAGAGGTTTTCAGATAGTACCCAGAGGTTTTCAGATAGTACCCAGAGGTTTTCTGATAGTACCTAGAGGTTTTCTGATAGTACCCAGAGGTTTTCAGATAGTACCCAGAGGTTTTCTGATAGTACCCAGAGGTTTTCTGATAGTACCCAGAGGTTTTCAGATAGTACCCAGAGGTTTTCTGATAGTACCCAGAGGTTTTCAGATAGTACCCAGAGGTTTTCTGATAGTACCCAGAGGTTTTCTGATAGTACCTAGAGGTTTTCAGATAGTACCCAGAGGTTTTCAGATAGTACCTAGAGGTTTTCTGATAGTACCCAGAGGTTTTCTGATAGTACCCAGAGGTTTTCTGATAGTACCTAGAGGTTTTCTGATAGTACCCAGAGGTTTTCTGATAGTACCCAGAGGTTTTCAGATAGTACCTAGAGGTTTTCTGATAGTACCCAGAGGTTTTCAGATAGTACCCAGAGGTTTTCAGATAGTACCCAGAGGTTTTCTGATAGTACCCAGAGGTTTTCAGATAGTACCCAGAGGTTTTCTGATAGTACCCAGAGGTTTTCTGATAGTACCTAGAGGTTTTCAGATAGTACCCAGAGGTTTTCAGATAGTACCTAGAGGTTTTCTGATAGTACCCAGAGGTTTTCTGATAGTACCCAGAGGTTTTCTGATAGTACCTAGAGGTTTTCTGATAGTACCCAGAGGTTTTCTGATAGTACCCAGAGGTTTTCTGATAGTACCCAGAGGTTTTCTGATAGTACCTAGAGGTTTTCTGATAGTACCCAGAGGTTTTCTGATAGTACCCAGAGGTTTTCTGATAGTACCCAGAGGTTTTCTGATAGTACCCAGAGGTTTTCAGATAGTACCCAGAGGTTTTCAGTCGGGCTGTCCCGACTAAGGATTTACATAGTCCAATCGGAACCGTCACGTCCTGCCTGTAGTCGCGTGTGTTTTTGTGTGTGCGGCGCCTCTCGCCTGTCATTCACCGGTCTTGTGCAGAGTTTTTGCCGACAGCTGAGCGCACGTCGCGGTTCCTCGTGGGTCTATTTCAAGTAGCCTGCTGTTTAAAACCGATATCATTTTCTTTGTGTGGTTCATCAACCGTGATAAATTATCCCCAGTGAAGCTGGAGCTCCGTCTCTTCAGCAAGTGTTCCTCTTCCGCTGCCTACACGTGACGCCCCGGGGTTATGGTTACAATTATGGATTTATTCACGCACTTTAAAAACATTTATTGAAAGTTTAAAGTTTATTTACAGCATTAAACGTTGAAATGTTTATTGTAACAGGCTGTATATTAACTTATTGGGAGAAAACTGGTAGTTCTGTGTGAAATCAGACGTTGAGCGCGAAGCTTCGACTGTGAGTTTGACAGTCGAATCAGGCTCCGCCTATCGAAGCATCGAATCTGCAGCTATTCAGGGTCAGCCCTTGTTTTCAGGGGCAGGTTTAACCCTTTAGCTTTTATCTGCAATGTCCTCTAGTGTCCCTATCAGGCTAAAATCATCCCCTGACCTGGTCCTTGACAAACTATCTGGCTGGATTTCTATTATATCTGGGGTGGATATTCCTGATCCCCGGAGGATCGACTCTGTGATCTTCCTCCAGCGCCGCCCTCGGGACAGACCTCACATGTTTAGCTCCACGACCGGTGAGCCTCACGCGAATCATCAGGATGTCGTTTTGTTCCGTCCTCTCAGGTACTTTCCGTTTGGGATCATCTTCCTGGTGGCGGGGAAGATCCTGGACATGCAGGACCCGAGCACGCTGGGGAGGAAGCTGGGCTGGTACGGCATCACGGTGCTCGCCGGGCTCTTCGTCCACGGACTCATCCTCCTCCCTTTCTTCTACTTCATCCTAACCAGGAAGAACCCCTTCTCCTACATCCGCGGGCTGCTGCAGGCCATGGTGATCGCCCTGGCCACCTCCTCCAGGTCAGAGTCCAGGACCGTCCTCGGTTAACCTGCTGGTCTGTGGGTGTGTTCAGGTTGTCACTAAGGTTTAATTTGACGCCCTTCTTCCTCAGCTCTGCCACTCTGCCCATCACCATGAAGTGTTTGTTGGAAAACTGCCACGTCGACCGGCAGATCGCGCGGTTCGTCCTCCCTGTGGGCGCCACCATCAACATGGACGGCACAGCGCTGTACGAGGCCGTGGCGGCCATCTTTATCGCTCAGGTTAATGACTACGAGCTGGACTTCGGCCAGTTGGTCACCATCAGGTAAACCAGCACAGACATGCTGAGACTGTCTCTAAGACAAGTCGGGAGGTTTTGAGCGACAGGACAAACAAAATGTCAAACTTTTTCTCAAACGGAAAGAATCTTATCCAAAGGGTAACAAAACAAATGTCTGTCAGATTGCACCCTGTCAAAGAGCCTGTTTTTTGCCGCTGACAGGCTCAGACTGTTATTACTATTATTAAGTGTCATTATAGAAAGGATCCCTGCAGAGAGAGAGATTTTTTAAACAGTAAGATCTTTTTTTTTTAACCAGGCACAGTTACTATATCGCTCTCGTCAAAGCCACCAGACTCCCTTCACAAAAATAGTACTTTTACCTCTCTGGTTCACCGCTGCCTCCGTCGGTTAATTTGTGTTATGGTGTGACTTTTGTGTTTTTAACCCTTTAAAAACACGAAAGTCACACAATAACAGAAACAAACAAACCGAGTGAAGCAGTGCTGAACCAGCAACTCCCGTGATCTGCAGAGTAAAATGACTGTTTTTATCAATGGAGTCTGGTGACTTTGACAAGAGCGATATGGTAACTGCTTCTGGTTAAACAAACAGGGTCTTCCTCCTTAACAAAAGGTCTCTCTCTGTAGGGATCCTTTCCATAATGCTGTCAAAGACTTGTAACAACAAGCTGAGCCGACTGCAGCGCTCGATACTGGACCAACTGCAAATCTGAAATACCCATAAAACATCCTAAACTGGGAACATCTGATAAAATGTCCTGTTACAGTATTCTTCATCCCCACTATTAATATGCACAAAACCAACTGGCCAGGTTACCTGAGCACTAGGGCTGCAACTAATTTTCATTATCGACTAATCTGCCAACAATTTTCACGATTAATCGACTAATGGTTAAATCTATAAAATGTCAAGAAATTGCTTCTTTGGTCCAACCAACAGTCCAAAACCCAAAGACTTTACTATCATAAATGACAAAGAATAGCAGCAATTCCTCAATTTAACAAGATCAAGATCATTTTTCACATTTTCGATTAATAAATGCCTGAAACGATTAATCGATTATCAAAATAGTTGTCGATTAATTTTCTTTCAACCGACTAATCGAATAATCGAAGATTTTAACATGCTCATTTGAAGAAGCGCCCTCAGGCAGAACTTTCTTTAACAGTGTCAAAAGAATGAATTTAAAGGGGACCAATTATGGTTTTTCATATTTTCTGGCATTTCTATAATGTTACAATGTCAGATGTTCATGTTAAACATGACCGCAGCTTCAGATAAAGAGTATTTAACAGAAATCCCGTGGGCTTAAAGAGACAGGAGCATCTACAGCTTGTTTCAGACAGAGGCTGAAATGAAGAGCCAGTATAAGATAGAAAATTATTATTATTCAGGATCAGACCTTCACATTCAATCTCAGTCTGCTTTGGTTTCGGGGTCAGGTTTATTTTACCTGGGTCAAAGACAACAAGCCTGCCATCAGCTCTAAATAAATTAAATTATTCTTCTGTCTGTCCGGCAGCATCACAGCCACAGCCGCTAGCATCGGTGCAGCGGGGATTCCTCAGGCCGGTCTGGTTACCATGGTGATCGTACTGACATCCGTGGGCCTGCCGCCAGATGACATCACACTCATCGTGGCCATCGACTGGATCCTGTAAGTTACAGCGCTCGTAATGCAGAAAGGTCTTAGTATTATTTACACTTTAATGTTGTGGCGCGTTAACATGGAGCTCCCTGTTTCCAGTACACAGATCCTGTACTTGGGTAAAAGTACAGATACCTTTGCTAAATATTCAAAGTACAAAAGTACCTGCTTTTAAAAATATACAAATATCAAAAGTAAAAAGTACAGTTCTGTGTGTCAGGTGTTACTGACATGACAAACCGAATTTATAAATACAGCAGGCAAACTGTGCTATTTATTAAACACTGTAATTATAAACTGCTTCCAATAAAAATTGAACTTACTCAGTTATATTTTTGTGTGTGTGCAGTGGAGGACGAAGTATTCAGATCCTTTACTTCAGTAAAAGTGCTAATACCACACTGTAAAAATACACTGTTACAAGCAAAAGTACTGCATTGAAAACTTTACTAAAGTAACAGTATGCAAGTATAATCAGGAAAATGAACTTTAAGTAGCCTATTAAAGTAAAAGTAGAGATACCTTTCCTTCATATAAGTCTTTAACTTAAATTTGTACTTGAGTCAATGTGCAAAAGTACCTGCTTTTAAACATATACACGTATCAAAAGTAAAAAGTACTATTAGTATACATTATTAAAAAAAAAACAGCAGCAAGTGTAATCAGAAAAATGTACTTAAAGTATTAAAAATAAAAGTACTCAATGTCCTGTGACTGTTGTACTATTATATAAGTTTATTATTATTCCTCATCATTATTGTAAAGCAGGATGTTGCTGCTGTAGTTGTTGAGCTCATTTTAACTCTTTAATATCAGAGTGCAGCTGAGCTGATTATTTTCAGTCTGGATCAGTCAGCTGAATATTTTCTCCATTAATCAATTTCGAGCCCATGAATTGAGCCCAAAGTGACGCCTTCACAGTGCTTTGTTTTGTCCGACCAACGGCACAAAGATCAACATTATTACAAATAAATTCAAAGGAAAAGCAGCAAATCTTCACGTCTGTGGAACCATCAGATGATTTTACATGAAAAATGTAAATGTAAAAGTTGTTGTCGGTTAATATAAATGTCAATCTGATAAATGTACCAGCTGTACTTGTATAAAATATTCTCTAATAGTTTTAATTTATAACTAAACATCATATTTTATAAACTCTGACTTTGCAAAGAAACTGAAGCTGTCAGTAAAAAGTACAAGATCTCCCTCTGAGGTGGAGCAGAAGTAGAAAGTGGCATGAAAAGTAAATACTCAAGTAAAGTACAAATACCTCAAATGTGTGCTGAAGTACAGTACTTTAGTAAATGTACTTAATTACTGCCCACCACTGTCTGTTTTATATTCTGCCGGGTGGTCAAATAAATAACAATAATTAATTCAGTAATCACAAGTTTTGTGTTTAATGTCTGAATCTGCAAAGTAACGTGTAACTCCAGCTGTGTAGTAGCATCACATGGTAATAAGGATGTGAGTATAAAATACTCCATATATTATATATATTTTGGTTTCACATGTATCCTCCTCCCCCCCCGTGTCTGCAGCGACAGGTTTCGGACCATGATCAACGTTCTGGGCGACGCTCTGGCGGCGGGAATCATCGGCCACCTCTGTCGGAAAGATTTCCCCCTCAGTGAAGCAGGAAAAGTAAAAACACAGTCTGTAATTTTGACTCTGAAAAATGTTTTGACTTGTCAGTGTTGGCTTTTAAAACATGTCTGTCTCATAATATTGCTGTTAAAGAGTAATATAGCATTCATTATATAGTATAATATAATAATATATATATAATAAATATACACTTCCCATTAGTGTTCTGATTTTTGTCATTTATTACTTTAAATTTATTTCCCATCAGAAACTGGCTTCCATGGAGGAAAGTTACTGTAAAATGTTAGAATAAATTAACTAAATTAACCTTTCCATTACACCTGTGAGCTGTGACTTCCTTAATGCCTGTAGTGTTAGATTAGATTACAGCAGACTTTGCTGAGGTCAGACCAACAAACACAAGAGATTAAAGCTCTGACTGTCAGCTCGAGTCTTTGTCAAGCCCTCTGCAGCGCTCCCTGTTGCCGGGCAGAAAAGTCCATTAATATCCAACTGAGAAATACTTTAGTTAGTTTAACAGAATTATTTCTAAAATCACTTACAATCACTCACCATCACAGTAGCTGACAGCCCGACACGCTCAGCTTGTTATTACAAGTGTCTGACAGCTTTATGGAACGGATCGCTCTTATTTAAGAGTAAGATCCTTTCTGTTTAACCAGAAACAGTCGCTATATCACTCTCGTAAAAGCCACCAGACTCCCTTGACAAATATAGTAATTTTACCTCTCTGATCTACCACTGCCTCCATCAGTTATGTGACTTTGGTGTTTTTAACCCTTTAAAAACACCAAAGTCACACAATAATGCAAACAATCTAAGCAACGAGGGCAGCAGTAGACCAGCAACTCCTGTTAATGTGAAATGACTGTTTTTATCAATGGAGTCCGGTGGCTTTGATGAGAGCGATATAGGGACTGTTTCTGGTTAAGCAAAAATGATTTTATTCTTAAAAAAAAGGTTTCTCTCTGCAGCGATCCGTTCCATAATGCTGTCACACACTTCAGCCTGTCAGCTGCAAAAACAAGTTCTTCAGTGGACGGACTTTGACGGGGAGCAATTGCCCATAAAGATTAGATTGCAGCCCGGTTTCGCTGCTGCAGACTGCAGTACAGTAACTGTGACACAGCCCACTGGGGATGTTAAAACACTCAACCATAGCAGTCCTTCTGGGAGTTATGACCAGTATTGGTGAGTAACTAGTTACATGTAATTCAGTTATAAAATAAATGTAATCTGCAACAGTTACTGGGTAAAAATGTGTAATTAAATTACAGTTACTTATGAAAATGTTCATGATCACATTGGGGGGTAACATCTGAATATATCTGTAAAAATCTCGGCTTTATGTTGAATAATATTCATTTTGTTGCTTTGCATGTTTTTCATGAGCACACTTAGTGCTTACTAAAGTTTGATACTGTTCTGATTGGTTCTCCGCCCGTTTTAAACTGTCTTCAGAAAACAGTTGAGAATATTCATTACAAATTTAGAAAAGTAGGCCAAAAGTAATTAAATGTAATTAAGTTACTACGCTTTGATAAAGTAATTGAAACAGTTCAACTACTATTACGTTTCTAATAGGGTAACTTGTAATTGGTAACCTATTTATTTCCAAAGTAACCTTCCCAACACTGTTTGCAACTCAGTCAAATCTGAACTGTCAGACATCATACACGTATTTTTGGATTCGGTGTGATTTAAACTTTCCGTGGATATAACATCTCTGATATTCTTGCTGAATAAAAATCCAGTAATCTTCTTAGAAATCACAGGAAAAAAAGACGCCCATCCCCCAAAGCATTATAAATTACAGCATGGTTAACGGCCGTACAGTGTTTTATTGTGTCTTTGTGTGTTTCCTCTGCAGAATGTACCGTCTTACGGCACTCAGACTCCTCACAACAACTCCCACAGCGTAGACGTGCCAATGACGGAGATCCACACGCACAAAGACTGCATGTTCGACTCACCGGGCGAGAAGCACGCGCACACCGTCTACTACAACATCTGCCAGGTGTGATCGGAGGTGACGGATCTGCTCGCCTCAAAACCACCGCTGAAGCCCGGGAGAGTCCGGTCAAATCTCAGCGTGCCATCTGAGCAGGAGCGTTAAGACGAGACGGACTTTGTGGTAACAGAGCAGCAATCTTCTTAACAGGACGGGAGAGGAACAGGAACCGTGGTTTATTTGGCCAAAAGTGGATCGGAGCTTCTCGTGGAGCTTCGTTCTCCTGCTCGCTGACGACAAAGAGAACAAAAGCTCCACGGGCACGAGGATCAGGACGCCATTTTAATGATAACTCGCAAGCTAGCTGGAATTTTCGAAATTGAGACTATTGCTAAGTATCGAGCAAAGAAATCCAGCAGCATCTCTGCTTGTCACTGAAAAGGTGCCTGATCTGCACCAGAGGATTATGGGTACACGACGCCCTCCTGGGAGCACCTGCACAGAGAAAGTTACGCTGTCTACTGGTTGAAAATAAGGGACTTTGTAGTTGCTTCTTAATTGAAATGTTGCACGTTTGTGACTCTGAGGAACATCAGCTGTTAACAGGCTGAAACTAGGACACCTGAACAGGTACGCAGGTTTGTCAAAGCATATTCTGATGCGTATGTCTGGGCTGTAATGAGCACAATGCACCCTGGTCCTTTGGTTACTTCACCCCTCTGTGGCTGATGCGTAAACACATACACACAACACACGCAACAACGGTTTCTAGGGCTGGGTATCAGACTTAATCTTTGGTACTGACCGAAATGTACCAAAGTGTCAAAAACTGTCAGGAACAGAAAGCTGCTATCCAGTAATTTAATTTAACAAAAGAGTGGAAGATGGAAAGGTACGTTCCAACCCCTGACCTCAGCTCACAAGCTTTAGGTAGTGACCGAAAGAACGAAAATGCCCTTACAAGCAGCCTATACTGCACCAAATAGTATCTTTTGGGCACCAGAAAGTATTTAATGTGCACCAGAAAGTATTTAATGTGCACCAGAAAGTATCTCGTGTGCACCAGAAAGTATTTAATGTGCACCAGAAAGTATTTAATGTGCACCAGATAGCATCTTGTGTGCACCAGAAAGTATTTAATGTGCACCAGATAGCATCTTGTGTGCACCAGAAAGTATTTAATGTGCACCAGAAAGTATTTAATGTGCACCAGAAAGTATTTAATGTGCACCAGATAGCATCTCGTGTGCACCAGAAAGTATTTAATGTGCACCAGATAGCATCTCGTGTGCACCAGAAAGTATTTAATGTGCACCAGATAGCATCTCGTGTGCACCAGAAAGTATTTAATGTGCACCAGAAAGTATTTAATGTGCACCAGATAGCATCTCGTGTGCACCAGAAAGTATTTAATGTGCACCAGAAAGTATTTAATGTGCACCAGATAGCATCTCGTGTGCACCAGAAAGTATTTAATGTGCACCAGAAAGTATTTAATGTGCACCAGATAGCATCTTGTGTGCACCAGAAAGTATTTAATGTGCACCAGAAAGTATTTAATGTGCACCAGAAAGTATCTCGTGTGCACCAGAAAGTATTTTGTGTGCACCAGAAAGTATTTAATGTGCACCAGAAAGTATTTAATGTGCACCAGATAGCATCTTGTGTGCACCAGAAAGTATTTAATGTGCACCAGATAGCATCTTGTGTGCACCAGAAAGTATTTAATGTGCACCAGAAAGTATTTAATGTGCACCAGATAGCATCTTGTGTGCACCAGAAAGTATTTAATGTGCACCAGATAGCATCTCGTGTGCACCAGAAAGTATTTAATGTGCACCAGATAGCATCTCGTGTGCACCAGAAAGTATTTAATGTGCACCAGAAAGTATTTAATGTGCACCAGATAGCATCTCGTGTGCACCAGAAAGTATTTAATGTGCACCAGAAAGTATTTAATGTGCACCAGATAGCATCTTGTGTGCACCAGAAAGTATTTAATGTGCACCAGAAAGTATTTAATGTGCACCAGAAAGTATCTCGTGTGCACCAGAAAGTATTTTGTGTGCACCAGAAAGTATTTAATGTGCACCAGAAAGTATTTAATGTGCACCAGATAGCATCTCGTGTGCACCAGAAAGTATTTAATGTGCACCAGAAAGTATTTAATGTGCACCAGATAGCATCTTGTGTGCACCAGAAAGTATTTAATGTGCACCAGATAGCATCTTGTGTGCACCAGAAAGTATTTAATGTGCACCAGAAAGTATTTAATGTGCACCAGAAAGTATTTAATGTGCACCAGATAGCATCTCGTGTGCACCAGAAAGTATTTAATGTGCACCAGAAAGTATTTAATGTGCACCAGATAGCATCTCGTGTGCACCAGAAAGTATTTAATGTGCACCAGAAAGTATTTAATGTGCACCAGATAGCATCTTGTGTGCACCAGAAAGTATTTAATGTGCACCAGAAAGTATCTCGTGTGCACCAGAAAGTATTTGTGTGCACCAGATAGTATCTCGTGTGCACCAGATAGTATCTCGTGTGCACCAGATAGTATCTCGTGTGCACCAGAAAGTATCTCGTGTGCACCAGATAGCATCTTGTGTGCACCAGAAAGTATTTAATGTGCACCAGAAAGTATTTAATGTGCACCAGAAAGTATCTCGTGTGCACCAGAAAGTATTTTGTGTGCACCAGAAAGTATTTAATGTGCACCAGAAAGTATTTAATGTGCACCAGATAGCATCTCGTGTGCACCAGAAAGTATTTAATGTGCACCAGAAAGTATTTAATGTGCACCAGATAGCATCTTGTGTGCACCAGAAAGTATTTAATGTGCACCAGATAGCATCTTGTGTGCACCAGAAAGTATTTAATGTGCACCAGAAAGTATTTAATGTGCACCAGAAAGTATTTAATGTGCACCAGATAGCATCTCGTGTGCACCAGAAAGTATTTAATGTGCACCAGAAAGTATTTAATGTGCACCAGATAGCATCTCGTGTGCACCAGAAAGTATTTAATGTGCACCAGAAAGTATTTAATGTGCACCAGATAGCATCTTGTGTGCACCAGAAAGTATTTAATGTGCACCAGAAAGTATCTCGTGTGCACCAGAAAGTATTTTGTGTGCACCAGATAGTATCTCGTGTGCACCAGATAGTATCTCGTGTGCACCAGATAGTATCTCGTGTGCACCAGAAAGTATCTCGTGTGCACCAGATAGTATCTCGTGTGCACCAGATAGTATCTCGTGTGCACCAGAAAGTATTTTGTGTGCACCAGATAGTATCTCGTGTGCACCAGAAAGTATTTTGTGTGCACCAGAAAGTATCTCGTGTGTACCAGAAAGTATTTTGTGTGCACCAGAAAGTATCTCATGTGCACCAGAAAGTATTTTGTGTGCACCATTTCGTGCTCACCACCAGATACTTTCCAGACATTTCCCACTGATGTCCGTATAGAAACCCCAATACTGGCATAAAAAATGATAGCCAGCCCTAGAAGTTCTCTGAACAAATGGTCGTGATCCTGCGTACTTGGCTGCAGACGTGGATCAGCACCTGGACAACTTATCTGCGCTTTTTTTGCTACTCATCATCTTTACTCACAGCTTTACAGCCGGAACAAATCTGCCTAAAAACATGGATCAGTTTTTCAGAAGACAATAGAGACATCTTAAGAAACCAAGTCGGATCAAACTAGATGAAATTTAAAATGCATGGTGGTCATCGTCAAAAACAAAGCTGATGGGCTTTAAGGGTCCAGAACCACCTGGATCCTGATACTGGACTCCGTTTTTGATTGGCCGATGCTCACTGTGTTCAGACCGGCTGACGGATTAAAGGGTTAATCCGTCCAATCAAACGGCTGAATAAATCAAAGTGCTCTTCATCTTGCAGACTGAACCTTCTCCTCCTTCTGTCTCGTTTGTATTTGACAGCATGCTGGCATGCGTTCTAACTGGCTTCATTTGAAGTCCCCGTGCATTATTTTCTCCTCCTCTTGTTGTTGTTGTTGTTGTTTTGACTTGAATGTTGCAAAGTAAACAAAGAGCTGGAGGCATTCTGGGAATCTTACAGTTGCAGCTAACGTGAACAGATGCTAGTTTGAGTGTAAATAGATTCTGTTACTTTTCAGTATTGATCTTGTCTGGAGCCACAGAGCCAGCTTGATTCAATCACCTGAAAAACTTGATTGATTTTACAGTTTTTACAACGTTCTCTTCCCCCTTAGGCTTTTTTTTCCAAACCCAAACGGGATGATATCACACATGCACAGTCTGTTATGGAGTCTGTCAAAGTTTTGGTACTAAATGGTACTCTCCAGTTAATAAAACACAACTGTGCACAGAAATTGTATAAAACAATGCTGTTGAAGCAAAGTAAATATGGCAACTATTGATGATGATTAATGGATCTGAATCCAGCTTCTCAGATGTGACGACGTGTTTGTCTTTGCCATATAATGACAGGAAATTGATATCTTAAAATTTTGAACAGTTAGTCAGACAAAACAAACAAACTGAAGACATCACCTGAGAAATTAACATTATTTTTTACATTTCACACACTTTACGATTAATCAAGAAAATAATCGCCAGCTCAGTCAACTATGGAAATAATTGTTAGTTGCAGGCAGCCCCGTAGGTGGATGTATTATTATATTTGGCCTGTGTTATCTTTGACATCCAGTAAACATGTCGACTATTGTTGAATAGATTATCATATATTAATTCGAAAGCATGACTTAGGCTATTTCTTCACATGCACATGTAATTAATTCAAGAATACAGGTATTTACGTCGTCGAACAACATTACCGATTTAGTTAATGTCAGAAAGAATAATGACAGCAGGACTACACTAACTTTATGGAAATGCCGTACTTTATTTTATGAGACAAATTTCTTCTGTAGCAGCACCAGGACAGAAAACATGAGAACCTCCAAAAAGACAGTGTAGCGTGTTCATTAAGCCAATAAATGTGGAGTAAGTGATTCTAGAAAAAACACCAGAACAAACCAAGCGGGGAGCTTCCGGTCAGAGAACTGAGGCGAATACAGAG